GAGGTTAGCTGTGAAATAAACAAGCGCTCTGGTCGCCGACTACCAGCGGCAGTCCTATCATCGTGTGGAGGACTAAGGTCTAGCACGCCGAAAGCCTTAAAAGGGCCGCTCGATGACCGCACTGAGACATGGCAACCGTAAATTGCCATTAACCAAGTTTTCCTGTCACCTCGCTCTTGTGGTTAAAAGCTTATGCTAGAGGAGAAAAACCTCGAACAAGCAATTCGAGCGGCTGTTGGAGACCAACCTGAGCTCACACTTCCTAATAACCTTCATGAAAATATGTCCGAATATGGCGCCCGCAGCAATCGATGCGCTCCGTAAGCCTGGTCCAGTGGTGCGAGTGAATGGTATGCAAGCTGGAAAATTGAATCAAGAACGGACCCTTTGCATTGAATGATGGAATTTAAGACGTTCCTGGATCCTGGTAAGGTCTGACGGCGCGAAATCTTCGTCGGTGCAACGTGAATTTTTACTGCCTGGTTGAAGTCTGTATTTGTGACTAAAGCGTTTGGTAAATCAATAGCCACGGAGCCAAGCCACACTCCATCCTGTGCCACAACTCCCTCCCTTGCCATAATCTGCTGATTGTTGTCTGGAACCGGAAGGGTCGGACTGGAACTGGGATTCTACAAAAAATCCTGTTCTTTGCAGCTTTGGACTTCGTTCTCGATGTGATAATGGTTAGAGACTGTTCAGCTTTGCTAGTCAGAGCCAACTGGCCCCATCATGTGCTTCCAACATCGCAATAAACATCTGCTGACATAGCATTTAAACAAGGGTCATACGGCCAGTCGGTTGGACTAATTTCTAGTCAGTTTAAGGTTGTGCAGCTGGGTTATCGATAGCAGATCGATGGGTGGTACGGAGACTGGCAACACTCATTGATCGGAACATGTTTTCGCTTGAACACGCTTTAAAGTTCACTTCTCCTTGCCCGAAATGTCACGTGCCTTAATATCGAAAAATCCGGCAACTCATCATTGTCAAAACCTGAGAAGTACGGTCCTGCTTTACGATCTAAGCTAACGGAGAAGGTAGTAGCCAGATGTCAACATTGATAAATGTAGGCTATGGGGCATCTGACGCCACACAGATTTTATTAGCGGAAGAAAATTGCATTTGTTTACTTAGATGACTCTAGTCAGGTTCCGTACTAGTAGTCCCTTTCGCCAACCTCGGACGATGACGCAAAGTCGGGTGAGAATGATAGGAATAAATGGTGAACTGAAATAGTGAGTTTCAGAGTAAGCCCCAAACATTGCTGACACTCGAAATCTCCACAAATTTTTCCACGAAATTAGTTTTAAGCTGTCTGCGCTGATGGACTGTTCCTGGCGTGAATCGCGACTTTAATGCGGCAACTCGGCAGAGGTTAATCGCACTGAGCTCTTTAAGCACCCTCCTTACTTCGATACGCTCGCTCTCTTTTGCGGTGGTCTTCTCTCCAAGCAATGCAGTGTCTCACAACCCCCTTGTGAATGAGAAGGGCTGCGCAACAACGACGCATCCGCAGGACGGTATATCCGTTAATATCTCCAACTCTGGCACCCTGACTTCTTGGGATGATTAAGGACGCGTGGAGACGTGAGGCGCTGGCATCTTTGTAACTGTCCTTACGAGGAGATGCGAAAATTACCACGGCATAAGCCTCATAGACATTTATTGTAACTATATTCACTATTTTCTACCTTGGGCGACTTAGGTCTGTGCGTTAAAACACAACGGATCAGGGTTCCTTGATGGGAATGGGTTTGTGGACCGAATACCTACACTAAGGCGTGTTCTTGCATTCCGCTATAACTACAGAGAGCTGTCATGCATCTGCTTCGTTGACTTTGCTGTCGGGATTTATTCCGTCCATCGTGAGTTCTTGTGGCGGAAAATGGCACTGCATGATGTACCGACAAAAGTAATCGCCATAATCAAGGTCGATTATTGTTCCAGCACTGCAAAAATTGTAATCCAACAATTTTTTTTCAAATATCCTGTATTCGACCTGGCGTTAGACAAGGGTGTATCATATTGCCCATTCTATTCAAATACCCTATTGCCTGGATTATAAGGG